GCGGGGGGGGGGGACCAGAGGTATGAGTGGATATTTTGACAGAAAGGAGAGAGGAAGGAGGTGAGAGGACTCTGGAGGTAAATACTGTCACATGTTTAATTCAGCCAAGGCTCCACCTTCAGGGGAGAGTGTTCCCAATACTCCCCTTACAATGGGCTTGTCTGAAAGTCAGTCCGCAGACTGCCCCATCATTTCTATCAGTGATGAGCTTCTCCTTGTTTTTGCTGTAAACCAACCATCCGTGTCTTCTCGCTCTTTCAGATGATGGGAAGTGCCCCTTGAACCCTCACAGGTGAGTTGCAAATGCTTTGTGCCCGAGAACACTGGCTGGTTTGGGGCTGTCAGAACAACCAGGCACCTGCGTGTCTCCCGTGTACAGTAAACCCCTTTTAGCGTCCGCTTCACTATTCTCAAGTCAAATATTCAGATGATACATCCCAGCCACACGTAATGATTTGTAACTTATTAATTTATTTCTTCCATGAGACAGAGAGAGGGAAGGAGGGGGAGAGGGGGTGTAGTCTGGACGGAGACCCTCAGGCCCGGAGCTGTGCTGTGCCCAGCCTTGGACCAGCTCCGGAACTTGGGGTAGCGCTCGCCCGGCGCCCTCAGGAGGTCTGTGGACTGGGACCTGGAGCCACACCACATGGGAGTCCCTCGCAGAGTGTGATGCTTTGCTGCTGCACCACCACTTAGAGCCCCACGTTGTCTTCATTCATGACAGCACATACGTGTGCAAGAGAGGGGAGGCACCCCGCAGGGCTCAGCCACACCGTGACCCCCGTCTCCAGCATCTCCAGCACACATGCACGTGCCCACTGTTTTCAGGCCGGTTAGCCAGGGATTAAGCACCATCAGCATGCAGCTGCCGGCTGCACAGTGCTCCACCGCGCCGGAGGCTGCGCCCCGCGTGGAGTTTTTAAGTCAGTGCCTACCACAAACACACCACAGACACTGAGGTCATCAGAAGGTGGCACCTCCAGAGGACTCGCTGTGAAGGCAACAGCCCTGCAGTCGGACTGAGAGGGGAGGGTGGCATCACCGACTGGCACGGCCTCAGGGGCATCGCTCCCACACCCTGGTATCTCGTAGTACTGAATGACTCTGGTAAAGCTTATCATCCTTCCTCATTTCACAAGGCAACCACATTTTAAAGTATGCAAAGAAAACCCCACTTTATATGTAAAGAGGTCGAGTTTCAGGCTCAGATTTCATTGCACGTGAATATTGAGACTATGTTCCAAAGTCATATGGGGTGCAGGGCAAGCCTTTTGTGTGCTGTGCCTGTCGGGACATCCGGCACCCTGGCCCCTGCCCACTAAATGTCAGAACTCCTGATCATTTGTGGGGGAAAGAAGAACACCCCTAGGAGATGGTACTGCCACTCTGAAAACTCACCAGGTTGTCAAGTATGAAGGCTGAGACTTCATAATCATTTTGTCTCGCCAAGAAGAGGCTACAGCCCCATGGAGGACACAGCGGGTACTCACTTCACACAGCGTTGACGACAAGTCATTGTGGTGAACGGTGCCCGCAGAGTACCCAGAGCTGTTAAGTGGGAGCTGGAAAGTGTCTTGGCCCTTTTCTCTCCTTGCAAAGCAGAGCCTGGGGGTGGGGGTAACATGGCTCCTGGGGGCAGGCCCTGCAGCTGTGTCGAAGAGGCCAGGCTTCCACATGGAAGGTCACCACCTCTTTCTGTTTTCTAGTCACCTAGGAACATACGGAGTTTTCACAAATGCTGCATTTGATCCGACCCCTTAAGGTGAGTTACCTGTGAAGATATATATACTTTTTCACGTTTATTTATTTTATTCATGATAGTGCAAACACATGAGAGAGACAGGCACACTTACCAGAGTCTGGTCACACCATGCTTCCCTTCCCCTGGCCCTCCAGCTCTCTGGGATCTTGGGCACCTGGACGCAGACAGCCTTCCTGTTTTGGATTAACTGCCCATGACCCAAACTGTGGTTGGCCATGTGGCTCACAGGACCACAGTGTACCAGTCAAGGTATTTTTTTTTTTTCTTGGACAGGTTTTTTCTTTTCTTTTCTTTTCTTTTTTTTTTTTTTTTTTTTTTTTTTTTTTAAGGGGGGGTGGGGTTCC